TATATGCCGAGGTCAAGAAACATTAACTCTACTTCATCTAGCCAATGGATCGTTAGGTCTAAAGAGGAATCTTTACTTTTACTGTACCGAATAGAAATAACATTTAAATCAGATAATTATTGTATTAATCATATCAATTCTTTAACGGTATTGTTAGTAACTACACCCAACTTCTTGTTAGTAGAATATGATCCATCCATCAAATCAAGAAGCGAGACGTATCAAATTATAGAAATAATTTATATATTTAGCACAGGAGAACATCACGCAGATCACAAACAAATATCTATATATAAATAAACCAAGAACAAAACAAAAACACTAAAGGGAATTATTCTTGTTTTCGTGTATATAAATGACATTTACCCCGTAATCAAGAAAACGTGTTGAATGCGCATGCGTACAAATAAGAATGGCAGACATATGTTAGTGACGACGTCAAGACGAGGCCAAGACTCGAGGCGTATCTCAGACGGAGTGTGGTTGTCCCTGTAGGATTTCATTGCGGCATTCTTGACGGTGCCGTCTCGTCTGGAGCAAACACGTCAATATATTTATCCAGTGGGATTCGGAGAGTCTGTCTGTAGGAAATGAACTCGGGGAGGACCTGAGAATTGTAATGTAGTCGGGGTGTGGCGTATGGTAGAAAAAAAAGTTGTTTACTATTTGGTACATTGTTGTAATTATCAAGGGAGACTATGACGTCTGTGTATGTGTGTATGTGTGTGTATGGATTTAGGGGGGAGGGGGTATAAAGTGGAAAAGTAAGTTACACAATATTTGTTACTTTGCTGTGTCGCAACTTTTTAAAATTATCTTCTTACCTCCCCTTTTTATTAACCGTAGATACTAATCTTAATATTAATTTTTTTTTAAAGATTTTTATCCAGTTCAACGTGAAATATTCTAACATAAACTCTCAAAATCAATAAATATATTTTGAAATCACTGAATCAGGAAGGGGGTCCAAACTGTGATGTGAGATTAAACTACAAACCCACAGAATGATAGAAACAAATGTATTTTTGAGGTAAGTGTTCGACTCCATCCCCCCCCCCTTGCCTACGCCGCTGATTGTAGATCATGTGATCAATGACCAGACGTTTACCTGTATACATATGTCTGTCTCTGAAAGACGCATCAGACTTCACGTGCTTACCAAAAGTCTCGAGTTGGGATCCCGGGCTCGGCACATTGGACGTCATTGAGTCCACCCAGCTCTAAAAATACCTCTCAAATTAGGTAAATAAAGGCTGCTGGGCATAGTACTAACCGCACTATCCATTCATATGCCATTAACAATAAACAGGTTAACTCTACTTTATCTGCACCAGGGACCATTAGGGTTCAAAAGTGTAACTTTACTTCCTTTTTTTTGTAAGCCGCAGAGCAGTGACATGCGTTATAAAATGTAGATTGTCTTTTTATCGTACAGCTTTACTATTCATTAAATATGTATAGGGAAAAAAATCAACGAAACAGTATATCATTAATACGTATTTATTTTGTATCATTTCTCGAACTGTACAGTAGCCACATTTTTCAAAGCTAAGACACAACCTCATGTCGTAGACAGTACATCATGATGTAGGCATGACCTTATGACGTAAACAGTATATCATGGCGTAGACATGACCTCCTGACGTAAACAGTACATCATGACGTAGACAATACCTCATTAAGTTGACACTACGTGTAACCGTATGCTTGGACTTTCCCACTCTTCAATAGTTTATGTAAAACAAAGAGTTCACAGAATGTGGGGCTGGGGGTGGGGGGGGGGGTGATAGGAGGATGGTAAGAGATGTGGGGGAGATGGTAGAGGGTGGTAGGCGCACGGGGACGGGCTGGGAAGAAATGGATGGATAAAAAAAAACATGTCCAAACTATCAAAAACAAATTCACAGGTTTGATTGTGCAAAACGTTGGCACAACAGTTTAAAAAAAACCCCACATTATTTTAATTCAAATAAATTCTGTAATTTAACTTGGACTGAAATTAAATAATGTTTAGATCACTAACCACATCATTATGGCCAATATATTTATACCTTACAAGCAACTGATTGGCTTAATGTTAATTAACTAGGTCATCCTCCTTTAACTTAAAACAAAACTGTATAATTAAAACAAAATCTGATTTTCATATCATACATCTTTTTCTGATTATTTATGTTAAAATTACACAGCTTTAAAAATTAAATTCAATTTATTTAGCAAATTCTGCTTATTATAATGTGTTTGTAAGTTTTTGTCTGTTAAATATTGAAAACTTTACATAAGGTTTCTCAACGAGTGCATTCAGTCACTTCCTCTTGCTGTTAACAACCCTGTATGCTATTGTGACAGCTAGGATTTAACACGAACGTATTATATTTCTTAACATCGCGATATGAGTAAATTTACTTTTTACAAAATGCAATTTACGAATATACATCAACAAAACAATGGTAATTTTTTTTTCAAAAAAAATATGTAAACAATAAAATATAAATTAGAAAAAAAAATGAATACACTTAGAGGTCGAAAATTGAATAAATATATCTTATTTACAAAGTTAAAATAAGTTTTGCTACTTACTACAACTAAAGTACAATTTTTAATTACAATAGTGCTGATTAAAAGGCGAGAAGCCTTAACTAAATACTTTAATGAAAAAAAAAGAAGCGAAATAAAAAATAAAGTGTTTGAATAATCAAAACATTGCATTACTTAATCGTATTATTATAATCTCTGACAACAAATAGCTTGAAATAAATGCCATTATTTTTTTGTTAATTAAAAAAAATCAATAAATTATTGATTCATGTTTGATTTAATCATGATCAGCATTGAGTGTTGCAATGGAATATGCTATTTAAAGTGCGCAAGAACTCAAAATGTACACAGTAGCGTCATATTACTCGTACACAACAATCAAAGGGGTGAACCGACTTCATTCGGAAGGGGGGGGGGGTGTATATTGTGCCAATATAATATGTTGTTTAAACAATACTTTTAAATGAATGTTAAACAATATCTAAAAATAAATGGGAAATAATCCCATAAATTAAACATTTTACTTTTTAAATATTATTACTTTCCTTTAAACGTGAAAGCAGATAGTCAACTAATTATACTTCCAGTTAAAAAACCAGATAAAACTGAATATGTTTCATAAAAACTTAACTTAAAGCTGATAAAATTATTCAACTTACAGGGGACAGATTTAATTATTATTCTAATTTTATAGTAGTGAGATGTACAATTGATTACACATATTCATAAACAAAACCATTTTACAATTTAAACATAATATTGCAAAACATCTAAATACATCGTTTTTCTTATATCGAAAATCCAATTAAAATATGATAAAATGACATTTATTTATATATGTATATATTTATAATTAAAGGCAACATTTTGTAGGAATAATGAACTCAATATTAACACCAGGATATTTCAAATTGTCTTTGTGTGATTCAACAACAAAGGGAACTAACTCTACGATTCAACTTTGAGAAGTATCTAGACTATTCTAGACCTACAGAAATGTCTATAAACAGTTTCTAATTTTAAAATAGAAATCATAAACAATTTTTAGATGTTGAATACATAAATAATAATTATATTTATGACATGAGATAACCCACTTAATATATATATATATATATATATATATATATATATATATATATATATATATATATATATATATATATAGCCTATATATCAAAATTACTAATAAAAAAAATTCTAATAACTTCACATAGGATCACTCACTCAAATCTTGCATATGGGAAAATAAAAGTGATATTTTCAGTAGCTGTATGACATTTTATCATTGGGCTCCATATAGATACATTGTAAGAAAAAAAACACACATAAAATTATTTAATTTACATAATTACATCTAAACAACATTTAAATGCTATTTCTACAATGAATAAACTTGAAAAAAAAAATTCACAGACTAGAATAATAATAAAAAATAAGTAAACACATTCAAATTATTTATTTAAAAATAAAATTACATTGAACTCAATGCTATTTTATTCCATAGTTAAGTACTTATATAATTGTCAGAATATTTTTCTTTGCATTATGAATGATACATAAAAAATAAGAGTGTGCTTGAGTTATTAAAGAGGAATGGTTGTGATTATATGAAGAGGATTAAAATTAATAGAGATACATTTTTTAATGTGAATATTAATAATGCATATGGTAATACCATCAGAGTATGAAAATTTACAGAAAGAAAGTTTTAGTATGGAAAGAGAAAGGTATGCAAAGTACGCTTTAATACATTAGGATCATTAACAACATAACAGTTTTCACAGTTTTTGTTGAAATTTGTTTTTTACAATAAGGTTAGGGGGGGTTTACATCGATGAAAGTTAAAATTATTTTACAGTGCAGGCAAGTTAATTTGTACGTGTTGATTTCATAGATGACTCAATTATAGAATAAAATATCCAGGTATGTCACACATATTTTCACTCACTTTTAGACTACAGCATACACTCTAACTAGGAAATTTAATTAAAATCTCAATCAAACTTTTTTAAAATGCTATTGTTTAAGTTAACTTAGGAACAAATGATATAAATGTTATAACCGTGTTTAACTTAATGATATGCACACATTTTGTAGCCAATTTTAAAAATTAATTTTAATAATGCTATTGACTAAAATAAAACATGAAAAAAATGTGTATTGAATGACAAAAACATAGTCTCTTTAGAACTATGTGAAAAATGGTTTACTAATATTTATGAAAATGTTGCGTTCATTATTTAAATCAATTATATTTTCAACACTTTATAATTTCGAATACCACGTAGGTGTAATTTTAACTCTATGAAATTAAACTTTTTTTTTAATATACATGACAAATAAAAATAAAAGAACCATTTCTAAAAAATGGTATCCGTGTTAATAAAATAAAATATTAATAAAATACATGACAAATAAAAATAAAAGAACCATTTCTAAAAAATGGTATCCGTGTTAATAAAATAAAATATTAATAAAGCTTTTACCTTGAAATACTTTCTCGGTGCAACGTTTAACTCACAATGACAAAGCTTAACTCTGATTTTGTAAACAACTCACACGCAACCTCACACACAGCTAAACATAAGCTCATTAACTCAAGCTCTGTGTTAACAATAAGGAAAAGGCAGGTGATGAAAAACAGCGGGGCTCAGATATTGAATATAAAAATACTTTTATGACACATTTAAAAAATAAACACGGTTTAAATTTATAAATAGTAAAAAATAGATTTCAATTTTTTTCCCCACTCTTTTTTGTGTAGGGATAAAAAATACTTCTTACATATAATACAAAGATTTAAAAAAAACTAACTAAAACAACGTAGTAACAAAGTTAACAAATCACTTTGACAAAAAGCAAATATACACAATTATAATTTCAGTAATTTTAAAGCAAATCAACAACCAGATGAATCGTGTAGATTGTTTCTTTAAAAAGGCAACTGATTCGAAATATAGTTTTGAATCACAGCTGGGGCGGAAATGGAGTCGTCGAACTTGGCGACTTCCGTCATACATTGCAAGCCCTCTCGACTCAGGGTGCGTAACTCTGCTATCTTGCTGAGGATGCGAGAGAAAAAATGGGGCTTTCTCTGGGCCTCGCTGTTGTAGGTGCAGTGGTCACGTAGGCAGTCAATTATCTTCATCTGTAGCTCTTCCATTCTCTCTGGCTCTCGAAGTCCATGTCGTACTGAAATGGGAAATGATGTTATTTTTAAAAATAATCACAAATTATAGTTTGGTATTTAATTTATTAAAACATGTTTAAAATTAATATTATTTTTTTAAAATTAGATCCAACTTATTTTTAAAAAAATGTGATCTTGATTTATATTTTGGTATGAAATCTAGTTTGCTTAAAAAATAATTCAAAACTGTGTTTCAATATTAGTTTGTTAAAATCGTTGACGCATTTTTGTTTCGGCACTAATGTGATACAAAAGAATACTGTAATATGTTTTTATAGTTTCTTTAGAAAATCACTGTAAATTAAAATGACTCAATACATTATAGATTTTAGCCCAAATTATGAGAGATGTATTGAATGTGATGCTTACATACACATGTAAATACTATGAGAGGTAAGTAAGATAATATATGTAGGCTACATGCAAACACTGTGAGATGTAATGAAGGTAATACTTTCATGTATAAACTTTGTGATTTATTAAAGATAATACATGTACATATGAACACTATGTGATGTAAAGAAGGTTATACATAATATACATGTAAACTCCATGAGATGTAAAGACGGCAATACTTTTATGTAAACACTATGTGATGTAATAAAGATAATACATGGACATGGGAAGACTATGTGATGTAATGAAGGTAATACATGTATATATGAAGACTGTGTGATGTAATGAAGGTAATACTTACATGTCACCATAGCCAGAGCACTCATACAAGCCAGGGAAGAAATATCCAGCCCAATACGGTGTAGACTCAGGCCGAACTCCACGATAGAATTGATCCATTCCCCAAACGTCTTCATACACTGAAGACGGTGGTACACTTGGCCGTTCTCAAAAATTATCTTCTCATCGTTTGGTTGGACTCTGTCATATAAGACAAATGAAAATAATTAATTTTATTTTTTATTTTTAAAATTTGGTACTGCTTTGTTGATTGCAATGATTAAGACAAATGGTCAGGCAGAATTAGTCCATTTGCTATATATTTTAATCTTAATGTGTATTTTGATATACGTTACTGTCTGTAAAAAATGACCTATAATTTTAGTTGGCACTATGAATGTTTTTTTTTAAGCTTTTTTGTCTATTTTTAGAAAATACATGTTTTTATTTTAATTTTAAATATGCGAGTATGTTTTGATAAAAATATCAAGTTAAATTGACACCTGAAATTAAATGCAGAGAAAAATCGAGGGGAAATGACAAAAGCTTAATTGAAAATTACTTCTTGCACAATAAAAATTAGTTCTGGTTCATGTTAGACTGTTTTTGTACTAGCATAAAACAGTTCAGCATAAACAAACAAATACAACATGTTGACACAATGCACAAATAATTTTAAAAAATGGTTAGTTTAACAACAATATTAACACAACACAAAAAGAAAATAGAACATCATTAACAAAGATTTGACACCAACACAAAGATGAAAAAGTTTAGCATTAACAAAGATTTCACCACAACACAAAGAGAAAAAAGTTTAGCATTTACAGAAATATGAGAACAATACATAGAGAAAACAGTCCATCATTAACAAAACTATTACCAACACTCAAATAGAAAACAGTAAAGATTAACAAAGAGCCGTACCTGTAAGCCGCTTTAAGAACAAAGAGTTCCAGAGAGGCGGACTGGAACAAAAGTTCCTGGTCCTCCTTCTGGAGGTCGGTGAACCCGGGGATCTTCTCAGCCCATGCCCTCAGCACGTCCATGCTCTGCAGCAAGATGTTGTAGAAGGCTCGGACATTGTCTTCACGTCCACAGTTCGGGTCCTCAGGCTTGGACATTTGAAACTGTTGACACATTGATTATAATTAGTATTGTGTTCTTCTTCTTCTTCGTTCTTAATTCTAGTGTTGGTAGGCAGTGGCGTAGCGAGGTCGGGTGTCACCCGGTGCGGCACTTAATGGTGTCACCCCCCAGAGGCGTAGCGACCCTTCTCGGGGACAAACTTTCAAATTTTTTATTTGCACCCCCCCCCCCTCAAACTTTTGATTTGCACCCCCCCCCCTCAAACTTTCGATTTGCACACCCCCCCCCCCTCAAGTTTTTCTTTATATATTTTGCTATTTTTTGCCTTGGTGTCACCCCCCTAAATGTTGTCACCCGGTGCGGTCCGCACCCCCCGCCCCCCCCCCCTCGCTACGCCTCTGTTGGTAGGGATCCCTTCCAACACAATTAAGTATACGTGTCAACTGGTTATGCGCTATTGACTCCGATTTTAGCCTGCAACCTAGAACAAAGTACAAGGCAGCAGTTGTTTGACTTTGGAGTTGTCTCTCCTAGAAGAGTGGCTGTCCCCAGCTAACGAGTCTCATCTGCCCGCGGGTTTGAACTCGAGTCTTATCGGTTTAGCAACCATGGGCTTTACCGAACTTTTTATTGTGTTGATGAGTTGGATATTTAAGAACAGTTAAAATTACGCATGTCTGATAGCTTGTATAGTGAAAAGATATTCATCCTATAAAGTAACAATTTATGTGTTACTTTTTAAGTATTGAAGTTTAGTGATGTTTATAAAGTGGACAGCACAAGAACCAAGATATTGCATTGAAGTGTATTAACTACAGGGTTTATAATACAAATCACCTGATTGGTCGAATTGTGTAAAATGCATGGCTTATAAAAATATGTAAGTTATCTATCAGTCGTATAATGTTATTTATAAAGTTAAATTTTGTAAAAATAAGTGATCAGCTAAAAATCTAATTAAATTGTGTACAATACCTGGCCGAAATTAAAATGTGAAACTAAACTGAATGGTTTAAATATGAGCATAGTCTTCTCCAATATAAATATGAAAATGAACTACCCTAATTAAAATGTATGTGCTACCTACTTTAACTGTGTAAGCTAACTCCTCTAGTTAACATGTGTAAATGAACGTCCCTAATTAAATTGTATGTTACCTGTCTTTATTAAAATGTGCTAGTTACCTCCCCTAATTAAAATGTGTAATAGAACTGCCCTGATTAAAATGTGCTAGTTACCTCCCCTAATTAAAGTGTGTAAGTTACCCCCCCCCCCCCAACCCTCCCCCTCAGTTAAATGAGTAAATCAAATACCCTAAATAAAATGTGTAAGTTACCTCCCCTTATTAAAAAGAGTAAATGCCCCGCCCCAATTAAAAGATGTAATTACCTGGCTGTAGTCCAGGTTGGGGATATCTGGACACGTGTCTACGTGAGCTCTGACAAGCGCCGTGATGAGGCTGACGGGAGGGGAGGGTGGGGACTCCTGGGGTGACTTGGGTTTGGAGGGGAGGCGGCCCCGTCTTCCTTTCAGTCCATCTGTTCTGACAACTACAAAGAGACAAGAGAAATTCACATTAGATTAAATGTTAAATGTTATGTTACATTTGTATGGTGTGGCATTCCATTTTAAAATGTATATAATAACGTCTGCAATGTTCTGGCCCCAAACCATAACCTAATCTTTACTTAGGCCTACACCATTTATAAAACTATATATATATATATATATATATATATATATATATATATATATATATATATATATATATGTGTGTGTCTGTGTGTGTGTGTGTATAAAATATATATTATAGATAATATCTTATATATATATATATATATATATATAGATAGATAAATTTATATACATATATATATAATATTATTTATGTATATATATATATATTTATATATATATATATATATATATATATATATATATATATATATATATATATATATATATATATATATATATATATATACATAGCGTAATCTTGATTTGACAATAAATACACTACAAAAGAGAGATAAGAAGTACCTATATTTGTTATTAATTTGTATTTTTTAAGTATATAATTTGTATAAGGATAGTACCTCCGTTGTATAATATGCAGTAGCGTAAATCAGAGAATATCATTGAGACAATGAAAGAGGCGTATCGTAGCAACACAAATAAACCACATGCCGGGAATAGAAGCAGGGGATGTAACCCAATCGTACGGTGCATCAAAGGATTTCTGCGCCCATTTCAGAATCTCCGAGGAGCTTAAATAAACCCGGAACTCGCCTTTGTACCTTCTCCCCTGTTCCCCTACGCTCCTTTACGGTGTTATTATTTTATTTCACCCCCTTTTTTTCATCGGGAATTTTTTTTTTTTTTTTACTCCACTGTCGGATTTCGTCTACCGTGTTTTCTGTGTTGTCCAATAACATAACACATTAGAGGAAAACATTCCACGACATGGCTGGTGCCGGGGGAGGAAAACAGCGGTGGTGTTGGCCGATGTCTTCCGCGACCCCCACCTTTGTCTTGGGGTAAATTCTAGCCCGGGCGTTTGATGTGGTCGAGGTGTGTCGACGAGATAAATCAGATTACTGGTGAGTGCTGGTGTATGGTGGTGTGGTGGGGCTGGTGTATGGTGGTGTGGTGGGGCTGGTGTATGGTGGTGTGGTGGGGCTGGTGTATGGTGGTGTGGTGGGGCTGGTGTATGGTGGTGTGGTGGGGCTGGTGTATGGTGGTGTGGTGGGGCTGGTGTATGGTGGTGTGGTGGGGCTGGTGTATGGTGGTGTGGTGGGGCTGGTGTATGGTGGTGTGGTGGGGCTGGTGTGTGGTGGTGTGGTGGGGCTGAGTGATGTACATGGGCGTGGTGTGGCTAGTGTACACAAATAGATTGGTGTACACAGCTAGACTGGTGTATACGGCGTTGATGGTGTACATGGGCGTTGTGTGGCTGGTCTACACGGCTTATGCGGCTGGTGTACATTGCGTGTCAGATCTGGTGTACTAAGTATGGCGTGGCTGGTGTATAGGGCAAGGTTGGGTTAGCGTACAGAGTGGCAAGTTAGTATACACGGCGTGGCTGGTGTACGTAGTTTCTTGTGGCTTGTGTACATGGCAAAGTTGGATTGGTGTACATCTATACTTGTTTGTGTACACGGCGTGTCAGATCTAGTGTGCATAGCATGGCTAGTGTACGTATGTGTATAGACAAACTGGTTTACACGTTCGTGAAAAAAAATTCGCCAACGCCACTTTTATACGAAAAATTAAGTATTACTAGAAACAAATTATTTTTAAACAAATAAGTCCCACCCGATTGCTTTAGGGCAAAATCTTTTAAAAATTGATTGGTAAAAAATTCTTAATGGTTTTGATTTTTTTTAATTTTTAAATTTTAAAATTAGGAATATTATTTTTTTTTAAATGTCTTCATCGCGTTAATTACCTTCACTTAGTTTAATACAATATTAAAATACAATATTAAAATGTCATCAATATATTTTTCGTCGTTAAAACCTACCTATCTTCTATTTATTTACAAAATAAAAAAAGAAATTTATTGAAACCCAGTGACGAGGTCATGTAACAAAAGATGCTTGATCTGGACACCAAGAAGAATCGAACCCACGTACAACAACATCACCACTTCATCACTCTACTTACTTTCTCTTGTTTTGTCACCGGTGGAGTTTTCTCCCCTGCCCCCCCCCCCACGCCCACACTCCCCACACACACACATCCACACCTGCCGTCATCACATCTATTGACCTCACCTCACCACACCATACCAGCAGGAGTCTGTGACGCTTTCAACGGGAACTACTTTTATTTCTTACAGGACGCGTATTTATCTATGTAATTCTATCAGGGTGGGACTTGTTTCTCCCGTCTAAGCGAACGCAGGCTGATTCATTCTTGTATAGGAATAAACCAAAGTTATTAATAGCATAATTTAAGGTCTTTTTTGTCCTATAAATTGTTATCAATAATATACTTTTGTCCTATTTGTGTAGCCTACTTTTAAAAATAATTAACGGTATCAATCCAATTTCACTAAACACACACTAAACACACTCACATACTCGTATATGTACAGCTACTCCTACCGCTACGGCTACGGCTACGGCTATGGTTACGGTTACGGTTACGGTTACGCCTACGCCTACGCCTACGCCTACGCCTACGCCTACGCCTACGCCTACGCCTACGCCTTCGCCTACGCCACCTACGGCTAAGGCTACGGCTACGGCTACGGCTACGGCTACGACTACGCCTATACCAAGTATTTAATAAATTGGAACTAGTAAGAAATATATACTTAAAAGACTCAGAGTGCCATAATATCGTGACCATCCGCTTTTAAATCTTTACCTGGAAACTTACAATTTGTTGCTTATGCACTTCCTAACGACCTACCCCCACCCCGATTTACCACATCCCACCCCTCTCCCTATGTAGCTTGAGCCTGGTTGGGGTACAAAGTCCAAAGCTCCAGCAATGATTGAGGCACCCTACAGGGACAGGGGTGAGTGCTTGCGCGACATAAAAAAAAAATTGTTTCGCTTTCCGAATTCCGATGTGTCCCGGAACAAAATGGACGGAAAAAAAAATTCCCGGAGCGGAGGACATAACTGTGTGGTGGACAAGTTGAACTGTGACATTTGGGTTTGACTGACTGTCTGGATGAGGGGGTGAAGTGGGGGTGTCAGAGGGAGGGGGGGGGAGTGTGAAGGGGGGGGGGGTGTTAGGGGGGAAGGACGGGGGGGTAAAGGTATGATGAGGGGATGGTTGGGTGAAACTAGAATTTAGGAAAGTATTAAACGAAGGGTTAAAAAAAAGACAAGGAAATTAAATAAAATTGTAAGGAAGGATTAAATGAAGACGTAATATATTAGGCAATAAAGTAAGGAAGGCATAATGAAAGGATTAAACGACGATGTAGAGAAGGGATTAAATGAAGACATAATGAAGGGATTAAACGAAGAAGTAAAGATGTGATTATACAAAGAAGTAGAGATGGGATTATACAAAGACACTAAGAAAGGATTATGCAAAGAAATTAAGAAGGGATTAAACAAAGACATAAAGAAGGGATTACAGAAGGGATTAAACTAGAGATATAAAGGGATTAAACTTGAAGAATCACGAATGAACGAGATGGCTACAGCTTTTGGTATAAATTGAGGACAAGGTCACGGCTGCTGCGCCTTAATTACTGCATTAAAATTGTAACATAGATATTGATTGGAAACTTCATAAAAATTAGTGCAAGTGTTTAATTGCGTCCGCGAATTCAATAATATCAAGCTTTTAACATTAGCCAATATTTTCTCTTCGTAGTAGAAAAAAAATTAAATGTTTCATTCACAAACCCATTTAAATTTTATTTTTTTACCTAATTATTGTTATTCTTTTCATGCTTTGTTTAATGGAATTAATACACCAATGGGATTAATTTAAAAAAAAAAAAGAACTGCAAGTAACTACACACAATAATTTAGATGAACGACATAATTCTTGAATTACCCGATGATTTTTATGGAAGCATATAAGTCAAAAACAAAAGACGCAATATGAAAAAAAAATAGTTTTAGTTTAACTAGGATTTGAACCACATGAATCAATATACATCGGAGATTGAAGGGTGGGGCTGAACGAATTAGATTTCTAACACAGAATTTAAAACAAACAAATGAGTCAATAAGAACTGAATTTGTCTAAAAAGGATTGGAATTTAACAATGGATAAAAAAAAACTTCAAGCTTGAAGGAGAGTACGGGAGTCTGGGACCTAACAAAGAATAACAGGCCTAGGGCGGAATTTCCAGCACCGTATCAGACGGCTCTACCGTAGACGCCATTCATGGCCCTGGAAGCGGCTCAAGAGCCGGAGCGCGGCTCGAGTTTGGCATCTCCGGGACGGAAGACGCAAGCCGGGGATGTCTGTGTTTTCATAGGCTCCGTTTTACGTCGAGGGTAGAGGTGTAGCCTAGGGCTTGTAAGTTGAAGCAGTCTGGCTGTTGTGTGTGTGTGAGTGAGTGTGAGTAGATGTCCGTGTTTATGCCTGTTTGGAGAGTGCGTGCGTGCGTGTGTGTGTGCACGTAATTGTCAGCGTGAGTAAATATTGCTTTGTCCTGCCACGCGCGGGATTGGAAGAAGTCAAGATTTTCCTCTTAGAAAGAAAAAAAAATATCACAAATATTTTTTTTTCCTAATATCGTATTCGCCCTAGAAGATTTAGCGAGCAGTATAATTTAATAGCAGGCTTAAGAGATCTTCACCCATCTTGCCCACGTTTCTCTAAAGAGGCTCTCTCGTCAAAGCGACGATTAACGTAAACACGTTTTAAACATGTATTTGCAGTTAACGTAAAATTGTGAAAATCGTTCACCCAATTGATTTATACTACACCAGCCGCAGGTCTGTCTGCGTAGCACATGGTGTATGAATTTATAAGAACTAGGGTCAATAGAGTTGTCAAGTGATGTAAAGTTTTTGGCACTATTTCTTGTGTTACCTGTAAAGAATTATCGCGAGATAAATTATGTGTGTGTTAAGGTTGATGTTGAGGTTAATGTTTAGGTTTGTTTTGAGGTTAGTGTTGAGGTTAGTGTTGAGTTTAGTGTTCAGGTTAGTGTTGAATTGAGTGTTACGGTTAGTGTTGAGTTTAGTGTTCAGGTTAGTGTTAACGTTACTGTTGAGGTTAGTGTTGTTTGTGTAAGGAAATACACCAGTGCTGCAGGTAACATAGGTAGACGGTCCACATCTTGATGGTATGTGTGTAAATATGGGCTTGGTGTTTTCCTTGGTCCCTTCACACAGCCAAGACGTTGTATCAATTAAATAAAGACGCCCAGTTTTTAGCTGTGTTTAGCACCTATTAATTACTTAACAAGTAATGATTTAAATGTCTGATTTAAATGTCTGTTGTGTTAATGTTATTCAATGTATTGCTACTTTAACTTCGAATAATAAGTGTCATTTCTTGTTATAGTTTATTACAGTTTTATTTAAGTAAAAATGTATTTATTGATGAGAAGATAATATTCTTGCCTGCATGGTGAATTTGATTATCAAACACAATATATATATATATATATATATATATATATATATATATATAGATAGATAGATAGATAGATAGATAGACAGAGCGTTATGTGTGCGCTACGCATGCTATTTAACTATTTTGAGCTTTTAATTTATACCAATTGTAACACATTTTTTGTTTCGTCTCATACAGCGTAGCACATAGCACGTGTACAACTGATTGATCTAGCAGGGCGTTGATCACAGAAAACTTACGAAAACTGCCGCATCCAAAGAGTTATAAAAAAACAACTTAATCTTACAATTGTTAAATAAGGGAGCGCACCGCACAAAGTTATACAAGGGACAGCACCACGCGTTAAAGAGCCATTCATTAGTTTCCCGACCAAATCAATCCAGCGTCCATGTCCGACCTGCTAGAAGATGTCGATCCACTGCGCTAAGTGATACCAATTTTTCAATTAACGTAATTGCTGGTTAGTGTAATTCCCCACCCTGGAGGTGTTGAGTTAAGCTCTGATGTATTCATCTGCCAGCGGCTCTTTGTGAGTAAGTTGTTTCGACTAGCGGGCTAAAGACACTGTCAGCCTCACCCTCAAAGCTGCATCCCAACTCATTATCTAAAAAAGTTACCGTTAAGTACATTAATTATTTTTTTTTTGTACTTGCTTTCATATTAGGAAACTATTTTATTTTAATAGTTTGAAAGCAGTTTTAAAACGTGTACTTGATTAAAGTTATTTTAAGGCTTTTAATTTTAGAAGTTTAAAGGTTGTTTTGAATAATTGAGGATACATTAATCAGGTATTTAATTAAATAAAAGAAGTAATTACTATTAGATTATTATTGTGCAAAAAAAAATGCATTTTTTTCAAACGTCATTTAATTTTTTAAACTGTAAATATTGGATCGTAATGTTTCATTTTTCGTTTTATTTAAACATTTGTTTTGTGAATTAGTGATATAACTCCCACAATTCATTTCTCTTTTAGCTATGAATAGATAGTATCATGGAACGGAGTGTTAGAGTGCGTGATATTGTACCTCCCATCTTTGGACTCCTGTATGAATCAATATTGACACTATCATGTGTGGAGAGTGAGATTATGGGATATTGCAACTTACCATTGCAACCCGGAATTTACCATAAAGCAGTATTGACACTCTCATTGAGTTGAATGTACTCCACATGGAAAACGTCTTTATTTTTTTGCAAGATGTTGCAGCTAATTCCACATTGATTCTCATCTTGCTAAAGATAAGTGTAAAACAGACGTTTGATTTTAATCTCTCGTTTGATATTTGCAGTTCAGTTTTGTAACCTGTTCTTTTTTTTTCTTTCAAGACAGAATATCAACTTTTTGTTTCTATCTTTCTACTTTGTGGTGAGTTTTCTTCAACAAAAGTAATATTTAACTCTATAAAGAAATTATATTTTGTAAAGAATCTAGAATGTTTGACAATTAATAATGGGATTATCGATTTTGTGAAATGAAATTACAATACAGATTAAAGATTAAAAGCTTTCTGGACAAAGGTGGACACGTAGTTAATACCTTTGAAAATGGAGGGGAAGTAGAGTTTGCGTACACAAATTTCAGGAAAGTAGGCCTATACCATGTTGCAACACAGTTTAATTTGCTTTAATTTCGGCTAAACCTAACCTATGACTAACTGTTTAAAAAAGTATCTTTCTACTGTTTTTTTTTACCAAAAACAATTATGATGAAATTGTTTGCTTCAACGGAGCTCATGTTTTTTTTTTAAAGAGTTGTTGTCATGTGCCCAGACAACACGTGCGTCATGCAAGGCCACGCCCCTCCCTTTAAATTATTCAGGAAAGAGCTACAGTGGGCTAACTGCACATCAGCATGTTGTAGTACTTGGCGCTGTTGTGAAATTAGCCGGCCGCCAGCTTAATCGCTCTATTTTCTTTCCTCACTGGCGAGTACGGTTCGCCGTTTTGTCACATTTCACATTTCACAATGTACCGCTTAAAAAATTATATGAGAAACAAGTCTATTAGTGTTCTTTTTACGCATTCAACTTTCGCAAATAGTGTTTTAAAGTATAATGAGATTAAGGAAGGCAACTTGTTGAAGCATAATGTGTGCTTATTTCCAGTAAAAGAAGCTAAAAATAGTTACATTAGACGCTGTAGGTATCATGAGTTAAGGATTGTAGATAGATACATATATGATTTGTTTGTTAAATTAGACGCCGTTGGTATCATGGGTTAAGGATTGTAGATAGATACCTATATGATTTGTTTGTTAAATTAGACGCCGTTGGTATCATGGGTTAAGATCAAGGATGGTAGATAGTAACGTATTTGATTTTTTTGTTACATTAGACAAACTCGGTTCGAGATGGATTAAGATGCCGTTGGATTAAGAACTACTGGGATTAGAAGACATGACAGCAATTGTATCAAGATGACATTTGACATCATTAATGGCATCAAGATGGGCATTTGACATCAAGAAATTGATCAAGGTGTCATTTCACAGCAAGAACTTGATAAAGATGAAATTTTACATCGAGAGTTGGACAGTGGCGTTGCCAGGATCGTCTCAAGGGGGGGGGGGTTCCAATTTTTACCCGGGGACAAACTTTCGATTTGCACCCCCCCCCCCCCTCAAACTTTCGATTTGCACCCCCTCATACTTTTTATTTATATACCGAGGGGTCTATGAGGGGGGGGGGGTTATGACCCCCCCCCTAACCCCTCCCCCTGCCTACGCCACTGGAGTTGGATATAGATGACATTTTACAGCATGAACTGGATATATATGACATGTGACAACAAGAAATGAATCAAGATCGCATTTGACAGCAAGAACTGGTTATAATAGACATTTGGCAGAAAGAACTAGAAAATATGGGATTTGCCAACAATTCTAACTAGATGACATGTTAACAACAATGTCTACATGACATATGACAGTAAGATATGAAAATATATGACAGATGACAGGTTAGATGTCAGATGACAGTTATAGCCTGACCTACCTTCTTTGACCATCCCGACGGCTAAGCACTTCTGGAAGCGACAGAACTGGCAGCGGTTCCTTCTTCGTTTGTCTACAGGACAGTTTTTGTCGGCCAGACACACGTACTTGGCGTTCTTCTGTACCGTCCTCTGTGGGGATAACAAATTATAAGTCACGTGATAGGGTACAAGGATACATATCAAGACTTCGTAGCTTACATAAATAGTTTTGTATGAAGTATAATGGGGTATTTTTTTTTAGTAAACACTCCAGTCTCTAATAAATTCCATTTAAATAAATACATGTTGACGGAAAATAGATAGGGGCAGTGGCGTAGCGACCCTTCCCAGCGCCCGGGGACAAACTTTCAAATTGGCGCCCCCCCCCCCCCCCCTGAAACTTTCGATTTGCACACCTCCCCCCCCTCTAAAACTATTTATAATGCAAAAATGCAGCTAAAATGACATTTTAATTTGTTTATACAACCCATTTTGGCGCCCCCTTTGGTCGGCGCCCGGGGACATATGTACCCCCCTCCCCCCCCCCCCCCCCCCCCCCCCCCCATCGCTAGGCCTCTGTACGGGTACAGGCCTGTATACCAAGACTTAGTAGCTTAAAATTACAGTTTAGTTAATGTGAGGAATAATGAGATATTTTTATGTTTTTCATATAAACACTTCACCCTTTAATAGATTCCAGTTAAATAGAGACATGTTGATTGAGAATACATAGGAGTACTGGAAACTGTGTCGTTAAAGTGAAAACTATCACAGGATAGTCCTGCGCCATAAATCAGATATTTGCAATTTGAGACTATGATAAACACAGTGTACTAGACTTTGTGTTAGTTTTTAATCTAGTCTACCTTATGTAAAAGTTAAATCAGGCTTAAGTTTAAGATAGATTAGAAAATCACTGAAAATACATTTTATTTTAAGTTATTTATTTGAATATTTCAGCAACCTTTACTAAACAATTTACATAGTACTTGATATGTATTTTCTTTAATGATTGATCATTAGAATCTGACCATTTTTCAAAACCCCCATTAGATCTAGTAGCTTCTGCTCTTTGAGACATTTATACTTGATCACTGCTTCAACTTCAACTAGTTCCATCTCATCTCCCAACCCCTCTATAAATATGTTTTGCAAACTTGTCGTTTTAAAGTGTATAAAAATGTATGTGTTTACGTTGCCAGTGTCGTGGCTATAGGAAATAAATATGCATAGATTATAGCTATGACCTTGGTGGTCAACTGACCTTGAAGAATCCCTTGCAGCCTTCACAGGTCCGGACACCGTAGTGCTGGCAGGCGGCGTTGTCCCCACACACGGCACACAGCAGGCTTTCCTTCATGGGCTGGCTGCCGTCTCGCAGGGGCGGGGATCGGTTGTGGGGGGTCGGAGGGGTGCCCGGGGATTGGAGCTGGTATTTTTGAAGGTCAAGGCTGCAGAAACAAAAACGACTGATATGTTTATTTCAATATGTATGCGCATTATATTATGTTGCGTATTAATTAAAAGCTTTTAATTAAATGTACATAAACCCATTATACTATGTAAATATGTGTGTAATGAATAACTGTCCCCTGCATCTATATAAATGAGTATAGGCCTACAAGTTGACCAAATTCTAGATAAACTTAAATCATGGCCAGAAGTATAATATATTAAATAAAGGCAAGTAGTGAATTGTATATAATTAATATCAGAGTTTCTTTCAGTCTTTTTTTTTCTTCGTCAATAGGCGAGGGGTGACTTGAAAATTTGGGGTGGGAAGGGGATGGTCGAACTCAATTTTACCAGTAATGGGGGGGGGGGGGGGGGCAGATACTGGTAAACGTTTATATTTTCTCTATAAATAATATTTCACTCTGGTAGGGCGGGGCGGTAGATGTGCCTCGGAGGGGGTGCGGGAAATAAGCCCCGTTCCCCGAAAAGATGCCAGAAAGAAACACTGATTAGTATTAATCTAGCGAATGGCTTATACAGATGGCTCATAACTATAAGACACATAAACTAGAAATAAACTATAAATACATTTTAATCATTACTTGGCAAAGTTGGGTTTTTTTTCTTTACAATAAAATAACACTTTTCTTGAATTAAAAATATACTGCACTAGTGGGTTGGTTTTTTTTTTTTTATATTTTAAAAGCCGCTCTTTTCTTTTGTTTTAACATGTCTACGACTGTTGCTATGGTAAACCGATAACTTACCTATCAGCGTTGGGGGGAGTGGGTATCGTGAGTGATGTCCGCCTGTGCGAGTGATGCATGTGCGAGGCGTGGTGAGCAGACATGGAGAGGGATAGGTCGCTGCGATAAGCGTTACCGTGGGGCACGCCCGTGGAGGAGAACGCCATCCCCGGGGGGCAGTGTCCGCCCTGTCCCCCGTAGAACGCCGGGTGGTAGGGCTGGTACAGGCTTGAGGCCTCGGTGCAGTACGGCCCGGGGGTGGTCGTGTCGTAAGCGTTGTGGCTGTAGAGGTGGGATGGTTTCTGTTCGAGGTCGGTGTAGGCTAGGCTTGACTGGGGGAACACTAAATCTTGTGCGCTGCTGTCGTTGAAGGCGTGTTTCTGGTAGACTTTGGACACGTCCATGGGAAAGTGGGATTTGGTGGTGGATTCCATGTAGCGGTGCTGAGAGTAGAAATCGCTGTCGTGGGTCTGGAAACCCGACCCGTATACGTCATCGACCATGCTGTGGGGAGGGGGGACTGAGTACTTATCCAAGGGTCCGCTGTCCACGAACATGTTTGGAGCAGTGTTGCTGTTGGGGTGGGTGTTTGAGCCGGTGGTGTTGTTGCTAGTGGGACTGTTGTTGTTGGCGGTTGTCGTGTTGTTGTTGTTGAGAGTGAGAGTGTTAGTGGTCGACGGGGCGGAGGCCGGGCCGTATGAGGTGTGTTTGGATTGTTCTCGGGGGTGGAGGTAGCCGCTGTCGAAGTTGTAGTTCTCCAGGTACCCCTGGGGGGTGGGGTGCGTCTGTTGCTGGTGGTCATAGCTGAGACCGCTGGACTGGCTGTTGTCGTACCCGGGGGAGAAGTGGTCGGGGGACAAGTCGTCCGACGCGTACGGCGCCACGTCCGACTGAAAGTCGTGCATGGGGATGGTGAAGGACGCCGCCAGGATGTTGATGTCCGCCATGGCGGATTGTGACGTCAGAGAGTTCGAGTAAGCACCGGAAGTGTAGTGGCTACCAGCTAAAGCCCCTGCTGCATCGTAGCTGGCCTGAGAGATGAAAGCATGGAGGGCGTCAGGATTTGAACATGACATTCAAGCATATAAAAGCATATATTATCATGTATTAATAACATAAATCCCTACAGCTAAGGTAAATTAAAATTGCAACTAGTTAAGGGAATTTAGTTCTATGTACGAGAATGGAAGGGGAGATAACCTCGATGAAGATTTATTTCTTAAATATTTTTTTTAAATGTTAGAGAAGGGAGAGTTAAATAATTCTTTATTTTTTAAATACCTAACTCCGAAACGCACATTATCTGTTTGCTTTTTTATTAATTAAGTTGCTATTATATATATATATATATATATATATATATATATATATATATATATATATATATATATATATATATATATATATATATATATATATATATATAAATATAATCGTTGATGTTCTTAATTTCGAATGATCATTAAAATATGCATACATTTATAATTAGGTCTTGTGGGAGGGGGTGAGGATTTAGGAGATCAGAGATGCCCCATATGGGGTGACATGGCCGGGAGATAGACCAAAGCTCTACCTAGAGTTCGGAACGCGTTGTTGTCTCCGATGCATTGCACGTAAATGAGATTATTGGCTCATTAAACTGATTACTGTGTTTCATAAACGCCGAGGTCACAGAAACAGTAGAAATCTACTTCATTTAACACCTGATTCGAAATAATAATAGTATTTTTAATTCATAACTTTTACAAACTTTACTTTTTAATTGCCATTTTATATTCTTAAATAATCGTAACTTTTTCTTCGCGCATGCTGTATAATTTATATACAAACAATCAAGTTCAATTACAGTGGTTAGAGTTCATGGACAGTTAGTACTACAACAACACGACATCAAATATCATGCAGTGAAAACATCCATCAATGCAAGAAAAAAATACAACACCACGTCTTCTGATCAAAGAGAAAACACTTGATTAACCATTGCGTGTAGCGTTATCAAAGCGACGCCGGCCGTTGAGCTATGATCTCTCTCTGTAAACATTGACTCAACGCCATTTTGAAATCCAAGACAGCACGTTTCATGTCTGTTTCGTTTTTATTTTTTTTATTTTTTATTATTATTGAAATGATGAGACAGATTAGCTCCCCTGATAGATTAACTCCCCTGATTTATGCCCCACTCCGCCGTGTGCGTAGGTGCGTCCACACGTGCGGTTTGGTGTCGACGGCTGCACGCCGGGCTCTCCGCACAGATGACCGTATTTTCGTCACCGCGGTGCGCATGCGGCGCCACCCGCTGTCGTGTTCAGTCAACCGTGCATTATGGACAACACATGGGGTTCTGTTAGGGGCCGATCAGGGGGAGAGAACTGAGGGAAACATTGAAGGCGAACGGATGGGTGAAATACCAAGACTGGGACAATACGAGTTGAGGTTGTCGCCCCTGACACGAAATTTGAGAAGAGTTGGAATAGGGGAGAGAATTACGACAATATTATTGTATTTCTTTCAACCAAAGAAAGTTATTAGCCTAATACGTTTTTTTTCTTCTTTATTTTCCTTTTTTTTTGTATTTAGAAGGCGCGTTAAAAATAAATGGAAACATAATAAACAAAACAAATTTGAAAATTTAATTAAAAATAATATAAAATCTGATTTAAATTAAAATAAAAGTAAAGTATTCTAATAATAGAAAGGCAACAAATTATGCATTTAAAATTAATTAATCTGTAACAAAAAATTTATAAAGAAAATATAGAACTAATATTACAAAAGTATATATTAAATTAATGTAAAAATAAAATAATTAAAGACTTTTCATTAAGTATTTTTTTTTAATAAATAAAAATAGAATTTATTTAATTTACAAACCAAACAAAAAAAAATTAAAAAAAAATAAAAATAAAATAAAAAAAATAAAAAAGACGATATGAGGCCTACTGCATTATTATAAGGGTTCGTCGTATTTTCGGGTTGGTTCATCATGGGCTGGTGTTTTTTAGTGTTTTTTACAGTGGTGAAAATATCTTGCACAATATCAAATAGATCCTTTATTTTCGATATCCTTTTGGCTGAAAGGTCAAAGGTTAGTGGCATATTAATGTGTTAGTACAAAGAACGACAAGGCCCCTCACACGATGCATGACAATTCTGACAGAGACAAAGCATGCTTGATTACACCTTTCTCATGCACAATTAGAAATAGACACTAATTAACGAGACGAAAGATTTGTTTAGCGGTACCCTCATAAACAAATCACTTGCTGTTAACCGTAAACAAGTTTACCCGAGCAAAAAAAACATGTCTGCAATTAAAAACCCAGGGTTTAACATAAAATCAAAACTTATTTCAACGAAAAGAGCCCAAACTAGTTAGTTATGAGAGTTCGCTAAAAGAAAATAAAGACAACACATGAGTAACATAAAGTACAACAATACAGAGGTAAAATACAACACAGACACGTCTATAATGGTAGAAGTCAGTGTTTCTTTCAGACATTTTCCTCCGGGGGGTGGGAGAGTCACTTTAAATTTGAGGGGAGGGGTGGGGTGCGGACTATCTTTAACGGGGGGAGTGAAGACACTGACAAAAGTATGTATTTTATAAATTTTTTTATACATTCTATTTTTTTCGGGTGGGGAAGTGGGAGGGGGGGGGGGGGGCATTCTTTGGTAGATGCCAGAGTTGCCTAAAAGAAACTCTGGTAGAAGTTGGTTGGTTTTACTGTCATCACAATAACAAGTTGTGTAGTCAAACTATCCTGCCATTGTCAAAATGTCATAGTTTGTCTAACAAGGATGACAATGTTAGCCTCAGTGAATTAGAAGCAAACAGTAATTATAAAAACGGGTTATCCGAGTATTCTCAAAAATGTAAGACAAATACATTGGACGTTTCGACCCAAGGTCTTTGTCAAGCACCGAACAGTGTTTCAAGACTAAATAACACTACCTGTTTTTATTATCACTTTACGATATCACACTTGTCCATGAATTGTCAAAATATTGTCAAATATTGACCATCGTTTACTTGCCAAATTTGGCCAGTGATTGTCAAAATATTGTCACATGTTGACCGCCGTTTTGTTGTCACATTCGCCCAGTGTTCACCAAAATGGTGTCATATGTCACCCCTAGTTCTGCTATCTGCTATGCAGCCTCAACGCTAGCCGTCCTATTGTATCCTAAACTCTGTTTATGAAGTCGTGAAAATTAATTCCGCCATTGAACTGCACCGCTGACGATTCCACGCCACGCGTCCACTGATTAGACAGTCCCCCCACCCACCGCGCCCAGGGAGGGGACAGGGTGTCCCACGCTCCGAACAACAAACGGCGTCATTGTTGTCTCGTGACGCCTGCCAGCGACAGTTTGAACGCGTCCGTTTCATAAAGAGTCAGTGACGCACGACACGGCTGGGAGGGGGTGAAGCGAGACAGGAGTCACCCCTCGTCTTTTTACTTGATGAGTGATACAAGTTTCTTAATATTTGTAATTGATCACTCGCCGTCCGCCCCCTATTCTACCCCCACTGACAATGTTTGTTCTTTGAGTGGGGATAAAAATCATTAGACGGTGTATTACAATGATGACGTTTAAGAGGAGGGGTGAGATACACGGAGAATTTGTTTAAGGCGAAACTATCGTCTTAAGGTGGGAGGGAATCTGCTATTGTGAAAATCTCGTAAATGAAAAAAAAAACCGCAAACCCTAGCAAGAAAATATCAACGCGTGGTGAGTATGATATATGATAATTTAGCGCGCGCTGTGTATGAAATATGACAATACCGCACGTGGCGTTTATGATACATGACAATATATGTTATAGATGACTGTGATGAATGTGTACATTGACGGATGGAGAGAGAAAAAAAACCGCAAGTAAAAATGAAGATTAATTTTGTGGAAGTAATTTGAGAGTGGCGATGTGGTTGTGGGAAGAAGGTACGAGAACAGATGGGGTGGGGTGTGGTGCGAGTGTTGTAAGCGTGGCGGTCTGTGTGTAAGTAATAGAGCGGTTAATTGCCAGCTCCATATGTGGTCGGTGTGGCGGTTGGGCGTTGGCTGGATAGGGACACCACGCAGAAGATACGATATAAAAAAAAAACAAGAAAATAAGCTTTCAGTTGAATTGGAATTTTTTTTTTTGCGGTGCTGTTTTTTGTTTTTGTTTTGTTTTTGTAATTTATTCATGAAGAGAGGTGCTATGTTTCACTGATCCCAGCGCTACTAAATTACAAAATGATAAAAACTGTAAAAATGTATGTTGGGTTTCTTTCTTTTTTTTCTACATTTTTTTTTCTGAATTTGTATTTCCTTTTTTTTAAATTCTTTTTTATTTAATTAATTAGTACTTCTTTGTGCTAATTATTTCTAGTCATTATTATAATTTTTTTTTACAAATCTTTGTTTTCTTTACTTTGTGTTTGCCTGTACTAACAGATGGCAATTGTAACTGACACAAAAAAAAATTTACCAAATTAAAACGTTTAAAAAAGTTAAACTTAGAAAATAAAAAAAATCACAAAAGTGTTACTAAACTCTAAATAACACAATTTAGCGTATTTTTATAATAACGAATATTCTTAAAAATAAATTAAACGTTTAAAAGTGAGCATTAGTCCTTAACATATACGATATTTGTCGCTACTGAAGTAGGTCAACGTTTAGTTGAAGGTTAGTAAAGACAGGTCAAAAGTGTCTGACAAAAACAAATACGTTTTATAGACACGTTGTTTTAAGGTCAACATCACACATACATATAGCATACAGACATACACATACACGATGAATAGAAACTGTTAAACATTACACGTAATGAAAAATAAATATCTAGCATAACACATACATGATGAACAGTAATTGTTTAACAATACACTTGATGAAATATAAGGGTTTAACATGGTACATACAACATATAAGAATGGTTTAACAACACATATACACATTCTATTTTAATTGTTTGACAACACAAATACAAATAGATATTAATTAACAATATTTAACATGACACATAATTTAACAACATACACACCATACGAGATAGTACAACCAGCAACCAGCAACCATACAACACGCTAATGCATACAATATTAGAATATAGTTAATGTGGAAAATACATGCAAACATGCTTAAAAGGTCCATGTGCGTCCACTGGATTAGTTATTTGTGCACGTAGGCTAACTATGCCCATGCCGTAGGCTTATTGTGCCAATGCCATAGGCTAGCAGCCTAAATACAAAATAAAAATTATGTGGACGCCCATGGGTTATGGTTATAGAGCAATCAAGATAAAAATCTGGTTAGAGACAACAGCAGGTTAAAAGATAAAAAGTGAAGGTTAAATTACAGATACCGGGATGCAAGGCTAACGAAACCTAAACCCACACAAAGCAAACTAAACCAAAACCCACACAATGTTAACTAAACCTAAACCCGAAAAAATGATAACTAAACCTTAACCCGCAAACTAAAATCTTTTTTTTTAAATATTGACCATAACGTAAACAAAAACGAAATCCCAGTTTTAATATTGAAAAAAAAAGTTTTAACGCGAGTACATCTTCTAACCCATTAGCTAGACACAACTTCAGCTGTAACGATTGAATGAAAATCTCAGGGTTATGATAAACTTGTTCAGTTACTGCCCTTTAAACAAACAAATACGGCAAAGAACTCCATAACTTCCAGCTTTAATTAAGTAATGTTTAATTTTCATTGATCCTAGAATCAAGCGATCAAATTTATACACACACAAACGTATATATATATATATATATATATATATATATATATATATATATATATATATATATATATATATATATATATATATATATATATATATATATATATATATTGTGGAGTAAAATAACTATCAATGCAGTATCAACGCATGAACCCGTACCTACTTCCTAGCTATACCATAGCTCCTCTATTATCCAAACCCATTGCATCCCACTATCTCTATAGTAACGAACAATAGTAGGATATATAGACGACAGTTCAAGCAGTATAAAAAAAAAGAATAGAAAAAAAACATGCCGGAAGGTTGAAGACTTACTTGGGACTGAAGAAGCAACATGGGTCTGTCGGGGTTGAGCGTCCCGCCCCCAAGGCCGGGTTCTGGGTCGTGTGGGTGGGGCTGGTGGCCGAGGGGTAGCTGCTGGTGCTGGTGGTGGTAGCCCTGGTGCTGCGTAGGGTGGGGCGGGAGGTAGTAGCGGCGGCCGATGTCGTAGCCGGTGCTGAGGCTGGGTCCAGCGAAGGTCGGGCTGGGGCAGTGGGGGCTGTTGGAGATTCCTGTGGGTGAGAGAACAAGACAGCGTTAGATGGTGTTGTAGAGGTGACTATATAGATAGCGTTAGTTGGTGCTAGAGGGGACAATGGAAGACAGCGTTAGTTGGTGATGTAGGGGGGACAATGGAAGATAGCGTTAGTTGGTGATGTAGAGGGGACAATGGAAGACAGCGTTAGTTGGTGATGTAGGGGGGACAATGGAAGATAGCGTTAGTTGGTGATGTAGAGGGGACAATGGAAGACAGCGTTAGTTGGTGATGTAGGGGGGACAATGGAAGATAGCGTTAGTTGGTGATGTAGAGGGGACAAAGGAAGACAGCGTTAGTTGGTGCTAGAGAGGGGACATAAATATGTAGGTAAATTGATGCGTTAGTTGGTGCTATAGAGGGGAAAATGGAAGACAGCGTTAGTTGGTGCTATAGAGGGGAAAATGGAAGACAGCGTTAGTTGGTGCTAGAGGGGACTATGGAAGACAGCGTTAGTTGATAAAGTAGAGGGGACAATGGAAGACAGCTTTAGTTGGTGATGTAGAGGGACAATGGAAGACAGCGTTAGTTGGTGATGTAGAGGGGACAATGGAAGACAGCGTTAGTTGGTGCTAGAGAGGGGAAAATGGAAGACAGCGTTAGTTGGTGATGTAGAGGGGACAATGGAAGACAGCGTTAGTTGGTGATGTAGAGGGGACAATGGAAGACAGCGTTAGTTGGTGCTAGAGAGGGGAAAATGGAAGACAGCGTTAGTTGGTGATGTAGAGGGGACAATGGAAGACAGCGTTAGATGGTGATGTAGGGGGGACAATGGAAGACAGCGTTAGTTGGTGATGTAGAGGGGACAATGGAAGACAGCGTTAGTTGGTGATGTAGAGGGGACAATGGAAGACAGCGTTAGTTGGTGATGTAGAGGGGACAATGGAAGACAGTGTTAGTTGGTGATGTAGAGGGGGCAATGGAAGACTGCGTTAGTTGGTGATGTAGAGGGGACAATGGAAGACAGCGTTAGTTGGTGCTAGAGAGGGGACAATGGAAGACAGCGTTAGTTGGTGATATAGAGGTGACTATATAGATAGCGTTAGTTGGAGCTAGAGGGGACAATGGAAGACAGCGTTAGTTGGCGATGTAGAGGGGGCAATGGAAGACTGCGTTAGTTGGTGATGTAGAGGGGGCAATGGAAGACTGCGTTAGTTGGTGATGTAGAGGGGACAATGGAAGACAGCGTTAGTTGGTGCTAGAGAGGGGACAATGGAAGACAGCGTTAGTTGGTGCTATAGAGGTGACTATAAAGATAGCGTTAGTTGGTGCTAGAGAGGGGACAATGGAAGACAGCGTTAGTTGGTGATATAGAGGTGACTATATAGATAGCGTTAGTTGGTGATGTAGATGGGACAATGGAAGACAGCCTTAGTTTGTGATGTAGAGGGGACAATGGAAGACAGCGTTAGTTGGTGATATAGAGGTGACTATATAGACAGCGTTAGTTGGTGCTAGAGGGGACAATGGAAGACAGCGTTAGTTGGTGCTAGAGAGGGGACAATGGAAGACAGCGTTAGTTGGTGCTATAGAGGTGACTATAAAGATAGCGTTAGTTGGTGCTAGAGAGGGGACAATGGAAGACAGCGTTAGTTGGTGATGTAGAGGGGACAATGGAAGACAGCGTTAGTTGGTGCTAGAGGGGACAATGGAAGACAGCGTTAGTTGGTGCTAGAGGGGACAATGGAAGACAGCGTTAGTTGGTGCTATGGAGGGGACAGAAATGTATGGGTATATAACAATGCAACGTTAGGGTTATAGGAGGTATGTTTTTTTGGGTTATAGAGGAGTCAGAAATGTATGTCGGTAAAATAATCCGACGTTAGTATCATAGAAAAGACAGAAATTTGTGTCGGTAAAATAATGCAACGTTAGTTTTATAGAGGGAACAGAAATGTATGTTGGTAACATAATGCAACGTTAGTTTAATAAGAATACAAAAATGTATTTCGAAAAAAAAAATCTTAGATTAATAATAGAGTACAGAAATGCATATCGATAAAACAATACAAATCAACATTAGTTTTATAAGGAAATGTAGAAATTCAATTCGATAAAAATACACATTAGTTTTATAAGAAATGGCAAAAAAGTTTTTCGATTAAAAAAAACAACGTTTATAAAGTTTATTTCATAAGGAAATAAAAAAAAAAAACCGCAAACAGCATAACTATGTATACACCATAATCACTTTCAATCATAACAGGGCGGATTTTTCGTTCAAGTTCACACAATGTAATATTCTTGGACAGAAGAGTTAGGGTGTTGCGAGTGTAGTTTCAGTTTATTTAGCTATGGTTAGTTAGGTTAGGGCTCTACTTTAGATTATGGGTAGAGTTTCTTAGGGATATGATCGGTGTTAACTGAAGTAAAGGAAGTTAAGTTAGTTATTTGTTTACTGTTATTATCCTAATAACCAATATTTTATAGGGTATCATTATCATATCGTTATTTGATAATGTTAGATAAAATAACTTAGAAAACACAGCAAATGTATTGTTCTGAAAAAAAGACACTTTTTTTCTTTGAACGAAAAACGACTCTTTAGATAATGGTTAGAAATGAGACCAAAAATAATGAATAATATTCAAATATTTAAGTCAGCGTTACAGATTCAAGTTTATTTTCAATGGCATTTGTCATTTTTCTATATCGGGTTTAAGAGGAAAGTTCAGAACATTTTAAACACAAATCCAAACCTACTAAACTCATGGAATATTCATACAGGTTCACATATTTTAACACGATTCTAAAGTTCAATCTAGAAACGTGATGCACACCTATCTAGTATGCACATATTTAACGGATTATAATTGACTCGGCGTTGTTAACTGTAGATGTGATTGGTTGAAGAAAAATAATTATGCACAACTTCATTCCCCCTGTACATTGTATACCTTGTGTTTAGTATTGATTTAAACTTTCATATAATTAAAATGCTTCAGTATTTCTATGTTTGGTATAATACAGACTTTGCATTTTGTTTTTATGCTTAGTTTTTTTTTTTTAATATTATGATTATTTATATTCTAACTATACGCTTAACTTAAAAATTGGCTATTATTAACACCGCCTTGCCAATATAACTGTATAATTAAAATGCATATATGTATATCAATGTTTGGTACAGTACAGATTAAGCATTTTGTTTTTATCCTTTTTTTTAAATGTATCAGTACTATTATGATTATTTTTATTATAACTATTTGGTTATTATTAACATCCCCTATACCATTAGAACACAAACTAAACGCAACAAAAACTAAACGCAAGACAATTCTGTCATAACTTTTCTTATTACATAAATCTGATTATTTTCACCACGGTCATAACAAATAAAACCATACAAAAAACAACAAACTTGATATAATCAACACCTGAAAGTCAGAACATCAAAAACATCAAACACATACTGTGTAATATTTCCAGTCGATTGATGATAGAAATCAGTCACACAGCCTTCATGCAGTACGTAGTAACAAAGGAACAATTTGACATCAAAACAAGCGTATTCGCGTAATTACTGCCATAATCACACAAGAACTCGATAATTTTAGTTAATTAGTTTATTAGAATTGCTAAATATTTCTTTTACTACTTATTGTTTATTAATATTATTCGAAGCGGCGTTTGCAGATGTATATTAAACGTATATGGTTTCAGACATTATCACGGTGGCATATATATATATTAACAATTATAGCAAACGTGTTTATTAAACATTAACAAAATTATAACCTGGTTATGCTGAACAATAACAAAATTACATAATGTATTATTCTGGCCATAAACTGAATACACGAACACACGTCCATTTCAGGAAAATCGTGGATTAAATAAATCATGGATTAAATACATTTTAGTATTCAAATTATTAAAAAAAAAAACTTTCTCCTGATAATTTGTTTAACTGAAAACGCAGAACGTGCCAATAATACTTGATATCATTTCGTTCTTACCTACAGGGTTGTTAAAAAAAAACATTTACTTACATCAAATATTTGTGTTAATTAGACTGCGAAATATTACGTGCTAAAGTTCGATGACTGACACGGAATTTTAAATACCAGTGTATGCAATTATATTCTTAAAAAATTGTGTATAGAAATGTATAATTGTATTTGTATACACTGGAAAAGTCTTATTTTAAAATATTGACAATTTTCAATAAGGATAAATTTAATTATTATCTCTTTAATGATCTATTGATGCGATGGCACTACTGTTAATAAAGAAGTCAGCTAGTTAATGAAGCGTAGGGAAATACAAGTTTTTATGTCAGTTCTGGGCGGCATGATAACAAACACAGTGTGTAGTTATGTCTTTGTATTTAACACATTCGATTAAAACAAAACATTAACCCGTATCTCAAAGCATCACAACACACAATATTGTTATGTACCTGAGCATCGAATTCCTTTTTCATATTAAATTTATCAGAAACAGAATGTACGGATAAAAAAATGTAAATGTATCAAAACAAACAATGTTCTAAAAAACTATGTACGAACATTGCAAACCGTTATTCTATAAACAAGTTGATTATTTTAATCAATATTTAAACCAATGAATACTAATCACGGAACAGGGATAACTAATGAAATTAAGTGACAATGTAAAAGAAAAAATACCCCCCCCCCCTCCCCCAGTTTAAGTAACATAACAAGAAGTAAAAAAAATAAACGGCACACAGAATGTTTTTTCATTCTTTTTTTGGATCCATCAAAAATATGGATAGTATTAAACAAAAAATAACAACTGATCATTAAGAATGTCTGGTTTCACTGTGTAAGTGTAAAGTAATACACGCAGGCTTCAGCAAGACGCTTCAAACGTTTTAAACAAACAAAAATCAATTCTTTACGGAAATTTAAAGCACAATTTTCAATTCAATTATCTCCCTTGAATATAATTATTTTTATATTTTAAATGCAAATAAAGATTTTAGTAGTATAAAAGGGTTTTTGAATTAATTATATAATCCTACTATATTTTATTATATGTTTTTAAAAAATAAATTTTTAAAAAGTAAAAATTTTAAAACGCCCAAAACAAAACTAACCTCTGAAGTACACCGTCTGATCAATGTTTGTATTCGAAACACAAGGATTGGGAGATTTGAATTTCATGCCGAATTTCGACAAATCCGATATCGAATTGACTCCTCATCGTGATTAAAAGAAATTTCTAAATTTCGCCTCCCCCGTTCTCCCTTACTGACAGCTTCCTGGGGCGATTCCAGACAGCACTCGACCAATAGGAAGCCAGGAAATATTCCTGTCTCAGCTCTCTGCGGAGGCTTGCTACGGATGTACGGTGCTCCGCGAAGGTCATATTTCTACAAAACATGAGCGGAAACGCGGTTTTTCTTTCTTCTATTACAACTAAAACCAAATTTCTCTATTATTTTCAGCATTTATATAAACATTATAATATATAGTTATAAAAAGAAGATTTTAATGTTTTATAACACGAAATATTTTCGTATTTTGTTATATCAATTTTCTTTTTTGATTTATAATCGACGAATCGCGTTCCCACGCGCGCAATCGTGTTATTAGATTCATGAATTATCAACGCTGACCTATAGAGCCGCACTACACAGACAACATCAGACTTAAAGGTCAGGGACTGTGTTGGACACACCATTAGACAACACATAAGCGACATGGCGCCTCATCTAACACAGATGGGAATATAAGGGGATGGAAGTATTAAAACACTGAGAATCGGTACAAGGATAGAGGGAGGGTCATTAGACGGCATTCGATGCTGTTGATACTTATTACAGAAATTTTATTTTTGCGCATTTTTTTTTTCTAAATCTAAATTATGAAAAAAAGTTATATTAAAAAAAAAGAAAGAAAAAGGAAAATCAGAATTGTTACCAGAGTTTCTTCCAGGCATCAGAAAATATATACTTTTAACAGTGTCCGCCCCCACCCCCGAAGAAAGTCTACCGTCCCCTCCCCACCCCCCCCCCCCCGAAATTTTCAAGTGCCCCCCCCCCCCCCCCCCCGTGAAGAAAAAAGTCTGGAAAAAACACTGATTGTTACACTGATGTTTACAAAAAATATCTAGAAGATAATGTATCGTATTACATTATCAGAGATAATGTATTTATTTCTATTACACTTGATTTAGATGGGGCTGGGAAGTAAGCATTTGTAACTTTTATAATGCGTCTGTTACTCAGATAATCTAATGTGATTCAGAATGGAACACTGCTCATATACGCTCCCATACAAATGCACACAGACATACACAGCTAAAAGTGCATTTTAAAATGCTATTACAACACACAGTAGAGTTAGACCACATACACACATACGAAACACATTCGCAAAACTTCGCGTAAACGCACTAAAAAAGCCACACATCTACATACACACACACACACATACATACCACCACCACAGTTCACGAACTCACAAATTATACAAAGTGCGGGCCAGTACTCCCGTACACCGTCAACAGTCCCCTCCCCCCGTACACAAAATCTCCAGCGCTGGACAAGGAACGCCCTCTCGCACAGTACGAGTTCAGCCCCCTTCTCGTGTAGTACTGTTCCCTGTTTACGTTGCATGAGTGCTCTTTCCTTTTTAACCCGTGTCCCACTTTAATAAAAGTGAGGGTTTGATACAAACAAAAACATCACACATCTTTCATCGGCCTGATTAAATGTTAAAAGTTAAATTTATCCCAGACTTGTAAACAAATTTAAAGTGTATACTTTATCCTTTTTCAAAATCCCAAACTTCGGAACATAAAGAACACAAATTTGACGCATTGCTCTTATTTATGAATATTTGAAACGGCTGAAATAATTAAATGTATTAAATAATGTTAGATATACAACGAACATAGGTATGTTTATTGCCATTAAATATAATTAAATAAAAAGAGCAGAGCAGAATTGATACACATTGATTGCACGGGCGACGCACAAAATGCGAAACACTCTGAGTCAAAACTAGTCAAGTAATGACAACAAAATTTACATAGTCATTGATCAGATTTTAAAATAATGTAATGATGGACTAATAGTTAGGCATATTTATCGTTTTTTTTTAAATGCACCGAGTGCATACATTTCGAATTATATGCTACTTGTTTGTTTCTAAATAAGCCAGCTATTTTGTATAATGATAAACTATCATTATTTAAATTAAATATCCATTTATGACGTCCACACGCGGGGGGGGGGGGGGTCCGAAAAAAACTGACTTTAATGGACGCATATGGACTTTTATAAGGGAAAAAAGTGGATTTTTGTGGACGGGGAAAAGGGGGGGGGGGGGTCCAAAATCCAAAAAATTGTGGACGTCATAAATGGATGACCCTTTAGTGTAGTTGTTAAATTAGACGTGAGTGTATTTTGATCTTCGATCAACAGTGACAAACATTATTATGCAAGCAATCTATTTTTAATGAAGAAGAAATATAGCAACTGTAAACAGCGCCATCGTATGTCTTGTTTTAAAAATGTAAGACTCGATTTTAAAACGGCCTTATTAAGGGCTGTTTGCTTCTCATTGATTTGAAGTACATTTCATTTTTGTTAATGTCACAAATACAAAGAATTAATACATCAGCATGTCTACTTTTGTGGTTCTATGGAATCGACAAAAAAGTAATGACCCCGTAATAACAGATATTCCGAATCATAATACATGATAGTAGGCTATACGTAGTTAATTAAGAAATTTTGTTAATGGATTTCTCAAATTTATTTACATTGAATATGAAGAGACAAAATAAGTATGATATTTTTTTTTATTTCTAGAATAGTTTTTATTCTGATTTTCGAAATTCCCGAAATCTATTTTAAAGTGATGACGAAAACAGAGAAAACAAAGACGCCGCCATCTTGGAGGTTGAAGGTTAATCACGCAGCCACACCATCCAGCACCACAGCGCACCAAATCGCACCGTGTGTTTTTTCTTACCCCCACACCTGAGGGCGCCTTATCACTCACCAGCCGCGCTAATGGTTGGCAGTGATTTGGGGGAGGGGGGGGGGGGGGGCTACATCTGGAGCTGTGATGGTGAGGATGGAACATGATGGTACCACACCGCTAGAAGATGGTAGCGTCTATTATTACAATGTGAAATAATGCACCACTGCGATTTAAAGACCTGCCAATAATAATAGAAAATGTCTCTCCGTAAGCCAAGAAATTTTTTTTTTACTATGGCTGATATTGTAAATCATCTAAATGTTCTTTGTTTAAACCGAGACGTCTTCATCATCATCTTTACCCTTTCTTGCCCATGGGGCAGATGAAGTAGAGTTTATCTATTTTAATGATCTCGGCATATGAGCGATAGTGTGGTCAGCACTATGCACAGCTGTCATTGTTTCCCTAAAGTAAGTCATGTATATATCAACCTTCAGGATTAAAAATTCCGTAAGGGACGTAGCCTATAGCAGACCCAAGCAGTGTTTCTTTCAGACTTTTTCTCTTGGCCGCGGTGGTGAGGTGGGGGGGGGGGGGTGGGGGTGGGGGAGAGAGTACTTGAAATTTTCGGGGGGAGTGGGGGCCTACTAAATATCAGGGGGGGTGGACACTGGTAAAAGTATATATTTTCTTTATAATTTTTTTGTGTTGTGGGGGGGGGGGGTAATCACCCCTCCCCCCGAAGTTGCCTGATATAAACTCTGGACCCAAGATCCGAACGAGTGACATTCGGGTTGGCCGTAGAGCGCTCTAATATCTAACTACGTCATTTTTTTAAGTACCAATATAATCCAAAGTAAATGCATAACTGGCCCTTATACGAAATTAAAATCTAACTCTTAAACAAAAGAATAGAACAACAGGAAAGAAATATTTAAGGCAAACTTTCCAGAAATGTTGCCGTCCGGCGTCCTGTTAACGACAACGTACGTAGAACTTGGATTTATAGAAGTGGCCGAAACGGAATGTCAGTATACACTGCTAATTGAAACAGTTCTGATAACAGGCAAATAAAACAAAACGTGTAACATAAATAAATTAAAACGCACTGTTCATCCCAGCCGCTTTGTAGGCAAACATAAGACAGAATAGTGGCTAATTTTGTTGACATTAAACAAAGGTATATCGTTGGAGTCTAGACGACAGGCTACATTTCAAAATGGAGTTATTATATTTCTACTGGCTAATTTTGACGAGGTCTTAGATTTTTAATATTTCGTCATGTGTGTTTGACGTCATCAGGTTTTGAGCTCTTCCATCAGTGTTTAGTGTGCCTATGTGAAGGGACAAATATGTGATTTGAGGCGGTGGTCGGGAGGTAGAGCTTACGACTGCTAACCTGAAAGTCTCGAGTTCGGATCGTGCGCTCGAGTCTTTAGAACTTTCTGAGTACACCCAACTCTAACGTGTACCTAAATCTCGTTATGGAAACCAAGTCGGATGCGCAAATTTCTGACCATACTTTATCCCTTATTACATCGGACTTAAAATCAGATAACTCTACTTCACCTTGAGCACAAAAAGATGATGATATTTAAATTTACTCCAACAGGACGACTTCTAGAAGTACTTCTCTTGCGGACAGAGTTATACCGCGATTACATTATATAATGTGTTTAGGAAACACATAAACTTGAAAAAAGTTAATATTTTATGAAAACATTTTCCCAACAAAATGTATATTTATTTGCTGCGAGATTTTGTCTTATAATCATGATTGAGTCAGGAAAAAGGTTAGCTTTGGGTGATGATTATGGTTTGGTAAAATTTGAGATTTAGGCTAATTTTAGGACTAGAATTTAACGTTTCCTTTATTTCCATTAATCTCGATACTCCCAGAAGACGATCGAAGTAACAATACATGTTTTATATTTCATTCAACTACTTCAACAACTCGAACACGACATTCGTTAAAAAAAAACTTAACTCAAGTACTTAGCCACACAACTACAATACTTAACGCATCTGTATCCGATTACTCACTAGTTAAAATAATCAGTCCTTTTATCAATACTGTATTCAACGTTTTAAAAGCTAACCACTATAGGGATACTAAAAACGTGAGCGACAAGACACGGCATACAGAAGGAAGCGAGACTTTGCAATGTTATCATTTCAGCATGAAAAGTTGATGTTACGCTTCTGTTGTTGTCTGAGGAATTATTTAATACTGTGTGTCA